ACACAGGTGTTGTTTAAATAGACACTGCATTCCCGGATTCTTTCCAAAAACCAAAAAAATAGATTTTATTTTTAAAAAATGGAATAAAAAGAATTACAACCAGGAAAAAACATGTATATGAATAAGAAAAAGTTTAAACTAATGTGGTTGCTATTTTTCTCATACGTTTTCACCTCCTTTTCGCCATGTTCAGTCCAACATGTGCACAGCCCTAGGGTGGTGGTGTAGGTATAGGAGGGAAAGTTGGAGTAAAGAGGAGTCTGGCTTTTTCAACAGTCATAAAGCTTCAAAATTCTGTCCATGATTAGTTCAAGAAGATCATTTCTTCCTATGCTTTTGAGGGTTGCCAGGGAACAGCTACCTAGTGGGACATATAGGCTGAATAAACCTCTGGAAATCCTTTCAGAGAAAGTATGTTGCACTAGTTCTTAAAACAAAAAGCCAGGTACCCATATCTTTCAACTGTTATTTTGACAGGTTAGAATTAGATAATGTCAACCTAACTAGGATATTTCAAGGGTTTGCTAGCTTAGCAGGCGTCCACCAGGTAGCCCTAAAGCATTGGTTCCCAAACATTTTGGATCATCGGCAGATCTGAGATGGTGTCACAGGAGCCACACAAAGTGATGGCCACTGTCAGGGTAGCAAGACCCAAAGGACACCTTTTAGGGGCATCTCACAGACTGGGATAAGGTGCTTCATTCCTGCCCCAGTCACTTGACCTACTCCTAGAAAGGCAACTTGGTGAGGCTGAGAGTTTTTCTTCTTCTTCTTCTTCCAATAATGTAAAGAGAAAGCAGAGCTAGGGTCTGAATCTTAGGGCACAAACCAGTCCTTAAGAGTCCACAGTTTTCTGCGCAAGCAGACCACTTATTTCACGGAAAGGTATGCTGCATATCGCCTCCAAATTTCCTCTAAAGCAGGAGTTGACTTCCAAGTTTTTCTACACCACTCCTAAGGGGTGGCGGATTCTGCTTTTCTCTGCTTTGCTCCAGTGCATGATCTGCTTGCGTGGATCCCAGCAGCACATTGTTCTGCAGCGATTTACATGCTTTGTGGTTGTGTGTCATTTGATTATATTTCCTTTATGGGAGTGCTGGTGGTGGTCAGTCTTCATCCTTCCATGCTTTAGGCCCAGAGGTTGAGAGTTCAGTTCCCAGTGCCTCCTTGACAGGGGCTGGACTCAATTAGTCATAAGGTCCATTCCAGTCCTGAGGCTCTAGGATGATGAAGATGAAGAAGATGTTAAGGGTACAATTCTAGATGTGCAGGAGCAAGTAAGGCCTGGATGACCATGTGTGTCCTAGTATGCCAAGCAACAAATACCATCCAGATGTGGAGCAGCAAATACTTTTCTGATCTCTTCAAATCACACACGCACACACACACACACACACGCACACGCACACAAATACATGGATGACCCATAACCACAGAATGACCAAGGACAACACTGCTGTCTTTACAAGCCCAATGATGAGCAAGTTAGAAACAAACCAATTCATGAGCTTTTATCCTTGAAGCCTCCTCCATCACTCCTCTGTGCACCTCAGTTGAACCAGGAAGATTTCAATTAAACATAGTTTCTTATTACCCCTAGACTAGGAAATGATGGTTTGCAAATTAGAAATGAACCAGTGTATTAACTGTAGTTAATTAAGCACCATCCTTCTTCCAAATCTAGTAATTGTAGTTTTCCACTCTGGGCATTATGGAAGATTCCTAGTTCAACTGTGGTGTACAGACAACGAAGGAGAGAAGGGGCTGCTTGCATGGGTAAAAACTGTGTACATGCTGCAGCTTGTTAAACCAAGCTATGATTGTCCAAACTCGCTCACTGGATAATCATGAAAAGTTCACGTCTGCAGGATTGCTCAATACCTTGTCAACATCTGACTATTCAAAAATAGGATTCTGAGTCAAAGATTATTCATACTTTTGGCCCAGCAACCTCAAGTATGCTAAGGCAGCATGTGCCGCGTTTAAAACACACCTTTCTCTCCAGTGTTCATTTCCTGTATGTTCCAAATTTAGAGTATAGCTCTAAGACAGCTAATTAAAGAACAATTTGAATGGGGAGGGAGGAGAAAAGGAACATCTGCTTTCATAAGGCTTACTGTTCTGAGATTAAACCTGGAATACTGTGCATATTTCTGGAAAAGCAGAGCTGGAAAACTCCCAGAAACAGAACAAATGATCAACGGGCTAAACATCTCTCCTGTGAGGAAAGGTTACAAGATTTTGAGTGATGTAAGAATCTGGCTGCAGAACCAGAGGTTGGGAGCTCAATTCCCCACTGGGCCTCCATGGACTCCATGATCCATAGGGACTCTTCCGGCTTTGCAGTTCTAGGATGATGATGATGATGATGATGATGACAACGACTTGGGGCTGTTTTTTAAAAAGTGAGTAAGAGATAACCTGATAAAATTATTAATGGGATGAATAAAGTAAGATTCTGTAGGGACAACTTTTTCTACCTCTCATAATACTGCAGCTTGAAGGGAATTCACAGCAGACAGAAAGAAGTACTTTTTCACACAACACATAGTCACTACTGTTACTACCACTACTATTAACAATGGCGGCGGCAGCAATGTGTTGTCAAGTCAGTTCTGACTTAGGAGATCTTTTTCAGGGTTTTCTAGGCAGAGGGTACTCAGATGTGGTTTACCCTTCCCTTTGTCTGAGGGCATTTTGGACTACGCGGCTTCCCCACGGTCACACAGGCTGGCTTTTCTCCTAGGAGGCACAGTGGGGAATTGAACTCCCAACCTCTGGCTCCATAGCCACATACCTGAACCACTGAGCTATTCAGCCAGCTATAACTGTGAAATTTGCTATGCAAGCTGTAGTAATAGCTTTTGACTAGATCAGCTTTAAAGGGGACTGGACATATTCATGGAGGATAAGGATAAGACTGGCCACTTGTGATGATGGCTAGTGGACATGTTCCCTCCACAATGAGAGGCAACATATCTCTCTATATCAGTTGTTTGAGGCACATGGCTAGGAAGAGCTGTTGCCCTCATGACCTGCTTGGGCCTTTCCAGAAGCCTTTGGTTGGTCGCCACGGGAACAGAATGCTAGATAGGCATGGCTTGGCTATGCTTGTCATACAGATGGCTCTTCAGCTTGGCTCTTCGTGTATGTTCTTCATTTACTTCTCAATCATATTATTGTTTCTGATGTCACCGATAAATCAGTTTGAGCCCTATGGGTAGGAGAAGGCCATCTTAGACAATACCTGGATCCTGTAAGAAGCATTATATCTGCAACATTATATTTTTAATAAATAATGTCAAAGGAAGTGCATTTCATGTTGAAGAAACGGGTTCGGGGTGGGTCGCCATCCTGTAGCAATATACATAGGATAGCATGCATGCATATCATGAGCCCCATTTTGAGAGAGATTAATTAAGAGAGAGAGTATTCCAGATAGTTCTCTTCTCTTACATTCATTTGCATAATTTCTCTTTTTCCCCCCTCCCATTTTCTGTGAAGGAAAGACAAAATATTTGCAATAAAGTCTTCTCATTGCTAATGCTACAAAATAATTATCCAAAAACACCCTTCCCTTAAGACACACAATTGCAGAATGAGCAGGTTTTCTAAGATGCCTGAGCCTAGTTCACTGAGAGATCTACTAACATTTGCTAAGGTATTCTAACATCGGGCAGAAGGCCGAAATTTGCAAGGCCTCTACTTGAGATGCAATATTTGTATGTTGCCACTCAAAAATCAAGATGGGAAACTAACTTCTGAGTAAGAGCAAACCCAACCAGTGGAAGGAGTAGAATGTGAGGGTGAGTACTTTCTGCACAAATGTCAGCAATGCTCACAGATTTTGGAATGATCTCTAATGACAACTAGAATCACAAGCTTAAACAAGGAACAAGGAACATGTGCTACAGACAGGAACAATGCAGACCTTCCCTTTTTGGACACTAAGAGTCATCTGAGAGGGCAATATTTCCAGCACTGGCCAAAAAATGCCTGGGGAAAAAAAACTATTAAATCAGTGACACTTGGCACTCAAATGTGTATTAAGAGAACTCTGCTTATACTGTACTAAATTAAAGCTTAGTACTTTATGCATAGCTTGTTTCTGCCAGCACACCTTCTGGTCCAGAGGTAAATAAAGCTTATTATAATGCCTGGAGAAAGGGTAGGAAGCAAATATCCCAAAAATATTGGGCCATATATTATTGAATGCAGACCACTAGGTATGACTACCAATTATCAAGGCAACAGAGGGGGCTGTGTACTTCACCGAAGGCTACAGACAGATCTGTTGTAGGCTATTATCTGCAGAAGGAAAGATTGCAAAATGTTCTTAACATGTCTGTCTCAACTGAAACTGTGAAGTCCACATTGCACTGCCAGGATCTGCATTCAAAAACAAGGGGCATAACCTCTGCCCCAGGTAGTGGGACTGAGATTTCCCTTCCCTGTGCCCAAATTTCATACCATCTGACCTTGATGAAGACTTCGGGTGAAGCTCAAAAGCATACCTTGTTTAGCTAGCCAATAAAGGCATTGCTCAAGTTAGAACTTACTTCTAATGGATGGATGACACAGCTACTTTTCCTTTGGCCAGTCCACATGCGTTTGTTAGTTGTTAAGTACAGTAAAGGCCCTAGTTCACTCTGTTTGCTGTCTTCCGTGTCACTCAGGAATAGAGAATGGCATCATATTTCATGCCATGTCATATCGTGATATACTAATTCGATACGATTATTTTATATGGGCTGCAATCCTGTTGCTTACTGTAGTAAATCACACTAGAGAATCAGTGTGGATTTGGCGAGTCAGCTCCTCGTTAATTAAAGGGGCCTCCTCTGACTGCGACTTACGACGCTGGGCAAGAGGATCCCGGCCCTCATTACAGTATCATCCAGCAGCGCTTCGTTCGCATGTACTGTATCCTAATACTAGCGTTCTGCCGGGCGCTAGGACCCAACGGGGCAGGCGCCTGGCTGGGAGCGCACCGGCCTTAGGACCCAGCGGCCATAGCGGCGCTGCCGGGTACACCTGTGCCTAGGGCGGCGGACTTTCCCGCTGGCTCCTCTCGCCCTGAGGTCGGCGGCAGGTGAGAAGCCCGGCTGGAGGCAGTGGGGGGTGGGTGGGCGTCCCTCTTGCCGCCGCCGGTT